TGTCAACATATTCTGTTACACCAAATACACAAAATAATGATCTTTAAAATAGCATCATATGACCCCTTTAACAGCATTGCATGAAATCCATTTCAATTTTACTTTATTTCAAATGTAAAGTTCACTTAATTTAATCAATGCATTTAAATTACATAATTCAATCCATGTAATATATGTTTATATACTGTATATGAAAAAAAATGATGTATAACATTATTATAAATATGAATATTACTTATATATACACAGGTGCATCTCAATAAATTAGAATGTCGTGGAAAAGTTCATTTATTTCAGTAATTCAACTCAAATTTGAGATGCACCTGTACATACATGTATATATATATATATATATATATATAAGGATGTATAAAAATAAAAATAATATTTTTTTAAATAATTGCAAATAATATATATAAATTATTTTTTAAAGGGGAAAAAAATCAGTACACATACATTAGGTCACTAGTATTTTCGCTAACAAAAAATTATTTCAAGTCAGTTATTTCTATCTTTTGCTGTAGTGCGTCAGTAGGAAATATCAGTTTACATTTCTAAACATTATTTTTTACATTAATTATAATAATCCAGTGAGGGTTTTGTTTGCACAAGGAGTCTGGCAATAGCCAGTGCTCCACACAGAGATCTGATCTCATCATCATCCTGTCTGTCTGGAATGACATGAAGAAACAGAACAAACTGAGACAGACTCAATCCAGAAGAACTGTGGCAATGTCTCCAAGATGCTTGAAGAAACATACAGTGGGGAAAATATTTATTTGATCCCCTGCTGATTTTGTAAGTTTGCCCACTTACAAAGAAATGAAGGGTCTGTAATTTTTATGGTAGGTTTATTTTAACGGATAGAAACAGAATATCAACCACAAAATCCAGAAAAAACACATTATATAAAGGTTAGAAATTGATTTGCATTTCAGTGAGTGAAATACGTATTTGATCCCCTACCAACCAGCAAGGACACTACTACACTAACACACACTTCAGGACTGAAATCCTGCAGCGCCCGCAAGGTCCCCCTGCTCAAGAAGGAACATGTACAGGCCCGTTTAAAGTTTGCCAAAGAAAATCAAAGTGATTCAGAGAAGGCTTGGGAGAAAGTGCTGTGGTCAGATGAGACCAAAATTGAGCTCGTTGGCATTAACTTGACTTGCTGTGTTTGGAGGGAGAGAAATGCTGACAATGACCCCAAGAACACAATTCCAACAGTCAAGAACGGAGGTGGAAACATTATGCTTTGGGGCTGTTTTTCTGCTAAGGGTACAGGACGACTTCACCACATTGAGGGG